ACCTTTTCTGGGTCTGCTCGTACACCGTGTGCACCTACGATGCAGCCCAGTACAGGTATCTCGGGGACCCCTATTACGCACTTTTTGCAAGTTTACATATAATTGGGCGTCACCCAGAGTCTGCAACACAGCGTCTAAATGACGCTTGTGCGACTCTATCGCGCTCAGACCGTCCTCCGCCCTACTATGCACGAATACATCGTCAAAGTAATGGGGCTCGTAGGCACGGTGCTGACGCATCACGTGAGCCACCACTCGGTTGTATGTTTCCGGAGCATTTTTCAACCCTTGTGGCATCATAAGACACTCCCACAGCATACCGCTTGGGGTGCTTAGTGTCGTTTTGTTTACATCGGTATCTCTCATGAGAACCTGATAGTAGCCATCCTTCAGATCCAACGCGGAAAAGATAGTTGACTTTCCCATGGAACTCAACAAGACATCTTTCCGCGGGATCGGCGTTTGAGCCGGAATGGTGGCCGTGTTCAGCTTATTATAAGCATGAACCACGCGCCATCCACCTGTTTCTTTACGCACACAGAAGGTCGGGCTGCAGTGAGGTGACTTGCTCTCACGTACATGTCCCTCCTTAGCTCGCTTGTCGAAGAACTCATCGATGTAATCGACTTGTTCCTTCGGCAACGGCCATTGCCTGGTCACACAATACTTGGTGCCAGGCTCCAAGTCAATTTCGTGCCTGATGCCCCTATCGGCCGGTAGGCGGCTCGGCACTTCTGCTGGAAACACATCACGGTGTTTCCACAGAACATCATAGAACGGGCTGTCCTTCAAGGCATCCCAGCCTTGAGCAGCGAACCGTTTCCTTTTGTCGGTCTCCAAGACGCTCTCATCCATTATGGATGAAGAGCAACAGTCCACCACGTTCTCTTCTGGAACTGATGCGACTATCTGGTGGATCTTTCCTTCCTTTAGTTCGGACAGGAACAGATCCCACGTCATCTCCGAGGGATTACTATCTCCTCGGCATATCCAATACAAGTTGTAGCACCTCAACTGAGGATGCCTCTGTCATTTTGTCTTCGACGGCCTCGAACAACTCGTTCGTAGGTCCGTCCTCTTGGACCGAGACTGATCCAAGGGTCACTCGTTTTGACGTGCCCTTGATCGTCTTAATACGTCTGTTGCTCGTTCTTCGAATCACCACGACCTTTGACCTGGAAGAAGGTGTCTTTGCTATCTCAGCTATAGCAGTCCTTCCAACCGCGCCAGGCTCATGGCTCTGTGCCGGTTCTTGTGGCGCTTGACTTTCTTTCAGCCCACCCTCAACTTCCACAGGCTCTCGGCTCTGTGCAGGACTATTGGACGCATGACTACTTGTCATCGCCCCATTCACTACACCAGTCTTTTCGACCTGGGTAGGAATATGTGTCACCTGGCTTTCCGCCAGTGCACTTCCAACTACACCACTCCTTTCGAGCTGGGTAGTTCCTGGTGTCGATTGACATACCGTCATCGCACCCTCGACTGTGTTGGACACAGCATCAGCCACATAAGCCTCTCGCAAGAGCACATCCTTTCCGGTGTCTTGCGTAGAGCTAGCGACTGTGCGTGTACGCCAGTCTATCCATTGTTGGTGTTTAGACAACCAAGGCATGCCTAGGATGAGGTCATACGGACTCTCCATACCTAGCACTGTGAACTTCTCTTTACAGAAGAAGTCACTGAAACTGAAGGTGAGTTCAACTTGAACTCCCTCCGATTTAACGAGCGCGCCGTTCTCTAAACGAAAGATCGCCTCTTCTCGCTTGTCATCCTGGCAAAGCGACTCATAACTCGCCGGTCTCTTTTTCAGAGCCGCGAGTTTCACAAAGTTTTGTGATGCACCCGAATCCACGAGAAGGGTCATCACTTGGTCATAGCCTCGTACTCGAGCGCTATAGACCAAAAGGGTTGAGGTTCGACCTTTCGGAACCTCAGGGACTATGCTACCCATTTGTTAGATCACTCTGAACTTAGGGGTAGCTTCAGAGTCCGCGACAGTAGGGCATCCCGCCCCTACTGCGCTCCCGCATTTCTCGACTCATCTTGGGCAGGTTCTGAACCCGTGCGTCGTGCACGCTGGTTTTTCGCACCTCCTTTCGGGTTGGGAGACCTTTTGCTGGGCAACTTAGCACCAGCAGCTACTTTGGCATAGCAGCGAGCCATCATATGGCCTCGCTTGCCGCACTTGTAGCATATAACATCTGCATTGCCTAACTCCATAGGAGTGGCATCCGACTTATCGGTCGACGGCCTGTAATAGGCTGTCGCCGAGGTGCTGTTGTAGGATTGCTCCTCAACTAAGGCAATGTCAATTGCCTCTTCCATCGTCGCTGGCACCCTTTAGAAAAAGGGCCTGACGCGATGGGCTGTGCCCAAGTCCATTCATGAACGTGGCCACCTTGATACTGTAATGGGCTACATTACACATATAGCATTAACACAAATAAACAATTACATATGTAGGCAGGTGCTGGGCCCGAATAGCGGGCACAGCGTGGTAATTTATTATTGGTTTATTATTGGGCCTAAAGTCCCCAATATGGACCAATGATAAATCAACCTGAAATTGTGTGGTTCCCGAAAGGCGGGAACACTGTCGTATTTATTACGACTAAAATCTTCGTAATTAGTACGAATTAAAACCAAAATAAAAATCAGAGTTAAATTTACTTAATACCTAATACTTGGGCTTGAGTCTTCCTCGAGCGCGCGTGTAAGCTAGTGACGGTACGTTCTAGCCCCGTTACAGATACGCTTTGTTATCGGTTCCCCATTAATGGACGCCGACAGCGAGCACATCTCCTGCACAAATTCTTGCAGAGATCGTTTCGCCTGTCGTGCTCCAAAGAAGCGCGCCATAAGCAACACTTCGTTGTTAGGCGGCTGATACATGGCGCGAATCTTTGCCTTAAAGATCGCCCATGATGGAAATGCATCAGCATTAGCAATTAGCGCAGAGTATGCCCACTCTGACGCTTTGCCACGCAAGTTGGACATGGCATACGACACCATTCTGGTGTCGTCTTCGATGAGCTGCGCCACTCCACATTGCTCAACTGCTAATAGCCAGTGAACAATCGTGTGAGGGACAGTTCCATCGAACTTCGGAGGGTCCATCCGAATGGGGCTCGGTTGAGCAGGCCGGGCAGAGAGCGTCTCAACAGTTCTGTTGAGCGCCTCATTACGTGCCTGCTCAAGCCTAAGCTCATCCTGAGTCTTAGTGATGGACTCAGCGGTGGCTTGGCTGTTTACCTCGGACGCGTTTCTACGCTGTCCGAGCACAAACGCCTCAAATTGCTCCAACTGAGCAACATGTTGCTCAGGAGGACAATGCAAGAAAGTCCCAGAGCCAAATGCTTCACCAACTCCCTATGATGTTGGGAGAGGTGAGGGGAGTCATCCCAATCCACGATGAGATCCATCCGTATCCACACGCACGCTCAAAGAGACGGATCGTGGAAAGGACTACTAGTGCTACCAAGTGTAGACGGGCACTCCTACGAAGTTGTTTCGTGCTACTAGCACACACCTTCACAACACAAGCGAGGAAGCGGTTAGACCGTCTTACCTTTGCGTGCGAGGGTGGTTAGGAGGTTGGTCGACTGCTTAAGCAGTCGTACCACCAGTTGCCTCTCGCTTAAGCGAGAGTGCAACGTACTTCTTAACACTAAAGCACCGACGTCACGTAAAAGCTTTTCAGCTTCTCGTGCTTGGTGCTTCAGTGTTTAGCAAATTCAAGACTGAGCTATTTCTAATGAATTAGAACTAAATATAAATTTAATTACTGATTGGTTAATATGTAATGATGGGTGCCATCTCTATAGATGCGCATCCCAACAAGCGAGCTTAATTATATTTAAGCTCGCTCAATGACGTAACTGGTTGACGTCATTTGATGACGCCTAGTTCCAGCTGGGCGTCATCCCCATCAATGTGAACACACCTAGTGTATATCACATACGCAAGGGTGTGACACATGGTGTGTCTCACCCGAGCGACAGGTCTTAAGTACTTACGTACCTTTTTAGACCTGCCCGTTAAGTATCGCATACTTAACGGGGACGTGTAACTTTGAGCCCGTTACAAGGTAGCTCGTCCCCCGTCCTCACTAAATGCGGCGGCTCTATAAGTGCTATAAGAGGAAGTACTTCTCACCACGAGAATGTAGCAGTGGATGCGGTGGTAGATAATAAACTCGGTCTGACTATTCCATCGGCCTTAGCCGCCAAGTTAGATGGGTTAAATCGCGTAATTCGTGGGTTTCGTCGTGCTCTGAAACACGAGCGGGACATGCGTCATCGCTTGGCAGACTCTGTGCAGAAGCTCGAGTTCGATCGGGCGAGTGCCCGTGCCGATTTTGCTGTTGCACAGTTAGAGAACGAGCGGGTGCTTCGCTCTCTGCGTGGAGACCTGGCAACAGCTCGTCAAGAGATCGCCCAAAAACATGGGACGATCTGGTCTTTAAACGACCGGCTTGCAACATGGATCGTAACTCCAAAAATCTGATGGAGATTTTTGAGCGTGGCGGCTATCTTCGCCGTTCGAAGAAGCCGCGTACTGAACGTACCGACGAAGTCGTCCCACGCAAAATGTAGGATGCGTGCGCATCTTACGTGGCAGCTTGGGATAAAAGTTGAGTGCACGACTTGAGGGTGAATGGCCACAATGATAGTGTACAATTGCTTGGCTTAATCGTACACGTTCTAAAAGTGCGACGAAATAATGCGTCCTATAAACTCCTCAAATGATATATTCATCAGATCGTTTTCGCGGCGCAATGTTCAACACTTACTTAACGTATCGAATAATCGATATAATATATGTGTCTCCCTAATGTATACCAAGATGTACACCGGACATTGCTTGTACTTAGATCAAGCCTGTCGTGTGCTTTTCTTCTCAATGCCTATTTTCGCGACTGCAACGATCGATTACTGCGTCTCTAAATTAAAGAAAAGGATGCCAAAGCACAACGGATCGAATGCTTGCTTGCAAGCTCAGTGCTTGGCCTTCTTCAACTTGATCTTCTCACCTTCCAGCTGTGATAACAGCAACAAACCAATAAGAACACACCAGACACGAAGATGTAGGGTACATATTCCAAATTGTTAGTCCCTACATACCACTTTCTTCACCCGCGAAAGCACCTGAGTGTTGGCACTCACGCATTTCTGCGGTTGATACGGCGGTTTAATCACCACTTCACCCATAACTCGAATGTTGACACCTTCCCACTCACACGGCATCCTACAGCAGCAAAAGCAGCACCATGTGAGGACAGAACATGGAGCATCACCCCCCCCCACCTAAAGACGTACGTCTTATTAAGAGCATCAAAGATAGCCTGAGCTTCGCCAGACACGCCTTGACCGATAGAAGCAAGCGCTCGCTCCGCCAACCCCTTATTACGTTGCTCCGCACGCAATAAGTCCTCCTCACTGATGGCAGGGAGCGTCAACTGGAGCCCGACAGGGGCAGGATCCAACACTTGAATCTTCTGCAATGCGTCAAGCTGGAAGATGCGTGTCTTGCTCTTGATTCCATTTTGCTCTTCTATTGTAAGCATTTGGTCGACTTACAGGTTACAGGCATTGCTTTACTTTACAGGTGTTGAATGATGGAAACCGTACCAAGCACAAGAAAGTTGGCGACTGGGTCCACCGTAAAGATCACGCCCTCAAAAGTCTCTTGAGAATTAGTGAGCACGCTTACCTTGGCGCCCACGGCCTTGTAATCCTGCTGTAGCTTCGTCGGCAACACGAGTGTTGGTACAGAGCTGCTCATCGCCATCCTAATAATTACTTGTCTACACTATGATACCCTTTTCAATCCTAAACGCTTTTGATTGGCTGTTTGTTCTGACACCTCGACATGGCATAATAATTTACAGCGAATCAACGAAGAGTACTCATTGAGAGGCGTGAAGACGAACGAATCCAAGCATGGGCGGCGGTCATTACGAAGGTGCGTAGCTGCAACAATTTATCTAATAAAAAAGCACACATGACAAAGCATACGTGCAGTGAAATCACAAAGTCCGTTACGTGCTTTTTTCGCCACTTATTGTGTTGTGTACTTTTGTATGGTGAGTCTGTAGCTCCCCGCGTAGCTACACGTCAGGAAATGGCAGACGCCAAAGTACCACTGCACTACCGTGACACGTGTGCGGGCCTCCTGATCCCTCTGAACAAGTGCCGACGGGCCACGTTCTTCCTCCCGTGGAAGTGTCAGGACCTGCGTCATGCCTACGAGAAGTGCCAGTACGAGGAGTGGAAGACTCGCGTGGAGATTCTTAAGAACCAGGACTAAAACCTTATTGAAGAGAAAAAGGGTTATATACTGTGAGATGACGGGTGGTAATAGGCGTCTTGACAAGTGCAGGAGCCATCAGAACACCACGATTGAATAAGGAATGCATGTGCCGCTGCGATGTTTGTATACTTCGGTGTAATTAGTTTCGCAAAGAGGATAAATTGTTTACCTCAACTTTCCTTGTAGACCCGCACAGGTAACATCAAGCTTAAGAAATTTGTTGTCCCAATTACATCCCTATCTTGTGCACGCAAAGCCGTTAGCAAGCCACGGTCGTGAACACAGACCGGCAATCCAGGTTATGAGGTACCCGAAGTGTTATTTTCAGTCTCATCAATCTCTTGGTTAATAGTTGGCCGCAGCTCCATCTCTTCGTTGCTGCTGCTGTCGGTCTCGTCGTCGTACATTTGTTCACCACGTTCATAGCGCTCTTGTTGTACACGACGTACCTCCTCGAGGCTGAGTTGGTCACCGCCAAATGGGTCGCCAATCTGCCTCACGAGCCTGCGTCCCATCAATACCATCGTGATGAGAATAAAGACGCCCGCGATGAACAGTCCTGAAGGGTTCTCAGCCTCCTCTTCCAGCATACGCTGCAGACGTACTTGCAATGGTTCAGTAGGCTCGACTTCACCTATCATCTCCGGAACAGATCCGTCAAAGCAGTCGATGCCCTCGGCATCCGCTTCGCTGCCCACGTGGAAGCCCATGTAGACGCAGAAATTTGCGCCATTGTCGGTGATCGCCTTGAGCGGTGAGCACACCAGCGCGTTGCCATAACAAGGAGTCAACGTACCAGCTCCACTGTGAGCATAGTATTCGTCTTTACAGACTTTATACCAGTCATTACACAGACTCGGGCACACGTTTTTCATCTCCCATGTACCCATGAGAGGATGACACGACGAACAGGTCATTTCTTCCGTGAGAGCTTGACACTTGCGGCTGAATTGGGCCACCACCGGCTCGCGAATTTTCCTAGCAATATACAGCATTTTTAGGTTGCCATTGCAACACCGCATCCACATTATGTCGCTTCACGTACAGCCGGAGAGCATGCCCATGTGTGGCATTGCAGCACGTGCTCTTGCGATACTTGCTACAGACTTCCATACCCTTCGTCTGTATCACGGTAGAAACACGCATAATTACAGAATATTGACATTTGATAGTTACATAGTCACATAGACACAATTGGTATTCAAGGGAGGAAATGAGATTACAACATTACGACGTACGCGTTGCATGGGATGCGTGTTTAGGTCAAATTTAAGCACACCAGCTGAGCGGCATGTATTGTCTGACCTGGACTTGACCTCTGCATGCACGGGGTTCTCCACTAATACCACTGACAACAGCAGCGTCGTGTACAAGCTCGTCACTATCATTTCGGACTCAAATTATTGACGATGGCTATCTAGTTCTTTACGTGGTGCACATTAAATAAGGTATTTCTCCTAAGTCATATTCTGTTACAATTGATATCGAAAAAATGGCTCACAATAATTCAAGCCAAGATGGCGGATGAGCTCATCGTGCTGCGTAGTATGTTCCCGTCCTGGGATGTGGAAGTGCTGGAGGAATTGCTGGCAGCACACCAAGGAAGTGTAGAGAGAACTGTAGACTCGATGCTGGCGATGGATGCGATATCTAGCGCAGGTATTAAGCAAGCTCCGCAGCCACCGCCGACTCTTGCACAGTCTCCAGGATCTCCGACGCGTCGGCAGCGCAGTTCAATACCGTGTCCGTCATCTTCTCCAAAAGGGAAGCCGAAGAGTCATATCAAGCTTCCTGACGACTTCTTGCGACTGCCGATGGACGATTGTCTTGGCATGTCCGAACAAGAAGAACGCGATGCCATGCTTGCCCGTATGCTGCAAGACCAATTCTTCCGCGACGAGGTTTTATCCAGCGAAGAATTCTCGTCGCACTTCCATGATGACAGATCGAATAGGCAAACTCAAGCTTCTGCATCCGAGAAGACAGCGGCTGAAGTTGCAAATGACGCATACGTAGCCATGAGCGAGAAATTTACATCCCTGAGTGAAGGTGGGCGAGAATAACTTGACGGAACGTGAATACGCTGGACTGATGTGTTACTGTATCTGTAGTCATGAAGAGCAAGATGCACAATATGTACATGCGCGTTCAAACGCGCAATGACACCCTCGCCAGCACAGACCCGAAGAGGTGAGGAATAAGACTGCGTTTTACCTTGCCAATTACAAGGCTAACGCCCTTTCATACTGTCGCTGTAGTGCACGTCCATTAATGCAAAGTGACTCAGAATCCAGCGAGAGCGAGGATCTGGATGACAATTCGGATGTTCGACGCCGAAACATGGACCACTACCGCAGTCAAGGATCTTCAAGACGACGGAGCGCTCCCAACACGACAGGGAAGCCCAACATTGACATAGGCGCATCCTCCAAGAAGGACGACTAGTTGTCTACATGTACTTACTGCGTCGCAGTGACTTTCAATCTCCATACATCCTTCCCATAGCTGCGGCGCAGTCGATACCCGAATGATGACAGGAATCAATATGAGGAAAAATCAATCGCGTCGGATCGCTTCCATAGGTTCTCGTCTGCTTTTTCCTTGTCATCAGCAAGCTTAGCGTCGTCTTCATTATCGCTGTCCTCGAAATCGTCGAGCATCTCTTGATCGGCAGAAACCTTCTCATTTTTCTGCTTTTGCTTCTTGTGTGCAGGCTCTACAGCAGCATCATCACTAATTCTCAGCACTTGCCGCATGTCCACGGTAGTCTCTCCTGTAAAATAGCCCTACGACAACCATACACCATTGTTATAGTCCAGTCCAACAGGTACACCCACGATCAAACCCACCTGCTGCTGCCACGCCACGAAGCTTGATGTCGGAAAAGGTCCATGAATCTTTCCGTCAGTAGCTTTGTACTCCCACATGATTTCTTTTTTTAGAGGCTTCTCCTCGCTCTTCCCTTCACTCTGTCCAGCAAACTGCACTCGTCTCCGCTGTGCCAACAGCTCCTCCTCCGGGATAAACTCTTCCTTTGTCTGGCCATAAACTTCCACCTCTCCCAACCTCATAAGAAAGTCTGCGGCTTCTGTGATCTGCTCAAACTGCTTCTTCTCCTCCTCTGTCTGCGCCGTCGTCTCAGCTTCTTTACTATGTGTCTGCTTGCGCTTGTTTCCAGGTCGAACACGCGTCTTCTTGGACCCAAGCCGCTTGAGCGCCTGTAACACCGTCTCACGTGGCCTTACAAGCGTCGCTAGCGTCTTGTTTGCCGTCTCCGTCGTAAGCGTCTCCTCCGTCTGTTCGTCCCGGAATTCACGCCGGCTTTTAGCGTGCTTGGCTGCGCCCATCTGCTGCTCTGACACATCCTCTAGCCAAGCCTCTTCTTGCTTTTTTGCCTCGTCGTCCCACACAAAATTTCCATTCGCATCAAAATGACCCTCATCCTTCTCCTCTTCCATATCGAATGCCGTCATTCCACGCCGCTCCAAACCCGCCATGATTACTAAATTTTGTGATTTACGGTACTTCTTTATTATCTACGAAAGTGTGGACCACAAATATCGCGATAGCTGGCTTGGTTGGCAGTGCAGAGAAGACGTCGCAACAACTTGTAGACAATGGTAAGATGCTCCATAAACGAAGACGAAGTGAGAACTGTCCTTTGTACTAACAACACATGTCTGTACACGCTGTTGATGTTTAGGGAAAAGCCAAGAAGACGCGCAAGTTTGCCGCTGTGAAGCGCATGATCAGTCCTCGCGACACGCGCATGTACGATGATTCTTTATTGTTAAAATGTCATGTATCACGTCTCTTATCCCATGAAATTTGTTGTTACACATACAGCAACTCGGTGCGGAAGGCGGTTGCTAAATCGGAGGAGAAGAAGCGCAAGGCTGCGGAGCCTAAGCAAATGTAAGTGGTGAGAGGATATTGAAACAGAGAAATGAAGGGTGCTGGAGTCTTATTTGCTGGTATTGTGCTTTGCTGTTGCGTAACGCAGTGACCAGATCCCGTCAAATATGTTTTTCAAGTACAATTCAGCTCTGGGTCCACCGTACAGTGTCATCGTGGATACAAACTTCATCAATTTTTCTATCAAGAACAAGCTCGAGGTCGTCTCGGCCATGATGGACTGCCTGCTCGCCAAGTGTAAGTATTGCTGTGTCAAAGATGTACCTGGCTCTTTTTGTAAATGATCAGTAGACTGACCAACCTTTGAATTATGTGTTGTTCTGCTCTGCTCGTGCAGGCACCCCTTGTATCACGGACTGCGTGATGGCAGAGTTAGAAAAGCTAGGTCAAAAGTACCGCGTGGCACTGCGACTAGCAAAGGATCCGCGTTTTGAACGACTGCCTTGCACACACAAGGGCACGTATGCCGATGATTGTCTGCTGCAGCGTGTGCAGCAGCATCGTTGCTATGTCATTGCGACGTGTGATCGTGAGCTCAAGCGACGTATCCGTAAGGTTCCTGGTGTGCCTATCATGTATATATCTAACCGCAAATTTGTGATTGAGCGGCTTCCAGAGGCCAACGCCGCCAAGATCAAGTAGACAGGAGTGTTTGCTGCGTGGTAAATAGCTCTAAGTATTCGGCAGGAAGACTGACACTGCATGTCTGGGCAATGTCAGTTGCTTCTGCTTGCCCACTTCATAGACGTATATTTTGAATCTAGTTGCAGTGTGTTTTATGACAACTTTTTCATGTCAAGCGTCATCCCAGCGTTGCGACAGCTAGAGCTGCGTCCTGCAGCCACGAAGAGAGCTACGCAATCGACTTCCGTACAAGTTCTAAGTTGCTGCAGGTTAACCAGAGGGCAAAGATGAAAGCGTTATGCGCTGCAGGTACCTGAATAATACGAAGAATATGTGCTGGGATATTTTTGATTTCGTTAGAGGAACTATATCACTTTCAGAAAAGGACGCAGTCTAACGGAGAGCTTCACATTAGACTACGTCCCTTAGTACAAATAACAGAACAGATAGACACAAAGCGCTGTAGATGAATAATTACGATTACACTATTCTAGTCGTCAAGGTGGGACTCGTCATCAGTATCAGTCTTCGAATGAAAATCCGACAATGTGTTACTGCCAGTAGAGCCGATCGGCTTCGGGTCCTTGAATTGACAAAGAATCTGACACGGACAAAGACGCATTAATGCTTTACCAATGCTCACACAAATGTAGGCCAGAGAACGTACTGGAAAGATGGTTTCACAAGCAGCGTCCAAATCTTGTGGCGCCTTTGAATCCGTAAAAACCACTTTCCCACTCACAAACACAAGCACCTTCACTTGCGGCTTCTCCAAGCGGTAGATCAGCGCTGGGTACAGCTCTGGCTCGTACTACACCCCCAATGCAAAATCACATACTCATCATTCCCCATGACATTACAATTAATAACTTCCCTCTAGCAACAGCATCTTACCGTGCAGCAGTCACTGTGTGCAAAAGCAAGCGCCTCCACTAGCACTCGGAATCCCAAGTTGCAAGTGCCCACGACATTCTGGATCTTGAAGTCAATGAGATTAACTCCTGGGAAGTCCATCTTCTGGATCACTTGCGTAAATCTACGAGCCGCGTTTTTAATGGCTTCTTCCGTCTCTGCGCCCGTGCAGACTAGCTTCCCATTGCCGAAGAGCATGGCCGTGGCCTTGGGGTTGTGCAATTTCATCAAGATGCAGTTTTTCTTTGGCACCAGCTCTGCCCGTCGATGAGACTTGACCAGAAGGTTCGTAAGATCGAATCGCATGCCGAGATTGGCAGAGCATACAAAATTCCTGGGCATCAGACGTATCATTAGAGATCAGTGTGAGAGGTGTTGGACGCATTTTGTATAGTGCCATATTTCACTTTGTTGGAGAAATTGTGGCTAGCAAAAAACAACGATAGATAGTGAAGACACTTGTGTTCTATCAAACTACTTTAAACTGTGGCATACTTGATGTGGAGCTCTGGTACCGTCGTAGTAGCGGCGAGATTGTGTTTCGATGTTGCTGTCGCCATGGTGCGAGAATGAAAACTACTTGTGACACATAAGTGTTACACAGAAAAAGGAGGTGCCAATTAGTCTGATTTAAGCTACATTTTGTATGCATCTCGCGAGCGGTAGCTTCTTGTCGGATGTAGCCATTTTTTGACCTAGAAATGCAACAACCCGCCTAATAATTGAGTATGTAATTATACGCAATATCTCAAGTAAATGCTACAGGCGTTATGTGATAGCACAATCTTTTTGATGTGGCAAATTAGCCTCTAGTCCCAAAAACAGATTCTAATGTCGTTCGAAAACACCACCTACTCGCATTCAAGACTTTTACCATTCGTACAACACACACCGTCTGCGATTCCTTGCACCAAAGAGAACAGAGTCGTAAGTGCACGCGAATCACCATCGACTGGAGCTACGAAAACCTCAGGCAATAATAAAAATCTTGAGCAGCTGTTGCGATATGTTGTGCGCTGGTCTTCCAGTACGAAAGCAATTGTTCTTACCTTGCTATACAAAAAAGCAAAAGCCTACCCTGCTACGGCGCGCTATCATTTCGTGCTTGACATCAGAGTTAAAGCTCATCTTGGCGAAGAAACCGTCGACCGTACACGTCTCGCACCTCAAATCTATCCTATTTCTCTATACTCCGTCCTAAAAACAGGAAAATAGTTCGACAGTGTTTGAACTCTTACGTTCTACTTCACACACACCAAAAGGCATGTGGACTTAGTGCGTTAAGTGAATCTTCCTGCAACAGAGAGAACCACCCTTTGCGAGGGACGTGAAATTCAAATTTCGCGTATACATACACCCCTCAAAGCACATCGTTGTCAAAAAATACATCTTAACACCATTCTCACCATTTTCACGGTCCTGTCATACAGTCCTTAGCTTCCTTTCCTAATACCTCACGCTCCCACTACTACTACTACCAATGCCAACATCCTCCTTTGAATAAATCATCCACACTAATTCATCCTCCACACGCTACTACGCTCTCTATGCATCCACTGCTACACACACACTCAGTGGCAAGCTAAAAGAACAACAGCTCAGGAGGTCATCGTACATTCACGACCATGCTTGATGCAATACCCATTCTTTTGTACCCACTTTTCGCAGCCCTCAGCCTTACACTTAATACCACCACCATGGCCGCGACACAATCCCTTCGACTGACTACTTTTGGGACAGTCAGGATGTTTGCACCGAGCGCCACCACCATGGGCTTTGCACAGACCGCGCGACTGCGCCGTCTTCTCACAGTCCTCGTACGAGCAGGGGGTACCACCTCCATGAGCGATGCACTTGCGGTTCGCCTGTGCGCTCTTGTTACAGTTTGAATGCGAACACCGTTTGCCACCACCGTGTGTACGGCACAGACCACGAGATCGAGCGATGTTGCCGCAGTTTGCATACCTGCAGACACGACCACCGCGGACATTACTATTGTAAAGTGCCGCCTGAGCCGCGGCATTTGCCGCCGCCGTCATAGCATCGCTGCTTCCTTCACTGCGACCTACACTCGAGCTGAGAAGACGCATGCCGCTTTCTTCATCCTCCGACGAAATCGACATGCGGTTGGAATCGTCGAACGACATACGGGATCGTCTCCTGTCCTGCAGGAAAAACACGCCCGGAAGCGACTGCGAGTACGGTGTCGGCGACGTAGAGGCCACTGACGACAGCGACGTGTTGGACAGTGAGCGCAGTGAACCGTTCGAGTGATGCGTCAACTGAGGCTGACGAAGCGGCGAGGGCGATGGAGATGGAGATGCCGACTGCGACGACGACGACAGCGTCGAGACATCCGAGAACCTGTGCAGCGAGAGCGAGGACGGCCGTGAGGCTATACCCAGCGGCTTCAGGTGCGTACTCGGCGAGTTGCGCATCGCATCGAGCGAAGGTAAACGAGGGTTTTTTTCCATTTTGGCGCTGAGAAACGGATTATGGATCTTGCCGATGGGCGCGGCCGGAGCCGACAGAGCCATACTAGCGAACGGTGACACGGGTGGTGCTAGAGGAGGCGTTGAGTGCAGGTTAGACGAGCTTCTGGAGCCACCGTACGTGAAGGCGTGCGACTTGGTGGTCACGCGGAGTTTGCCAACGTCATGGCGTGGCAGCGGCGAGATAAAGCACATTTCCTCCTTCTGCACCTGCAACTGCTGTTCCAGCTGACGCTCTTCCTCCAGCTCAGCAGCCGATCGTCCGTCATTACTCGCCTGAGGCTGGCAGAAGGAGTGAGACGCTCTCAGCTGCCGCTTGAGCGGGTCTGTGAGCTCGCGCACGCGGTTGTTGGCGTCCACAAGTCTAAAGGAAGGAGCGGTGGAAAGGGATGAATTATGTAGTAGCTGGTCACGGGGCTGCATCCAGTCCATGTTTTTTACTCTATCGCAAGACTCGCTTTTAAACGGACTGAGTTTCTTGAAAAGTGACCGGAGGGGCGCGGCGCTGAATGCAGAGTGATAGATGAGTTACCAGAAGGAAGAATTGATGTGCGCCACATACACATGGCTGCAGCGGCAAGGAGTGCGAGAGAGGACGCTGTGAGGAGATCTCCACTGGCTTACAAAACCGTGTCAATAGGGAGCGCGTAAAAAAAACGCACCAGGCTGCAGTTAGACCTTTGATCCCCGCAGTTGTAGCTCGAAGTAAGCTTTATAATGCAAGCTGAGGCAGTACATGTAGCCACCTGAGAGAAACTGTCGCAGCTCGCTTTTGATAAACGACGTCTTACATTCTGTCATTCACTCATATTCTTCTGAATATGCATTGTCCGCCATGTACATGTGAGACAGTACTTTGCTCATATAGTGGTATCAGAAAGAGAACGTGGTGTTAAGAGATGTTTCAGCCTCGTCTCTGGCGGACCAAGAGTGGCAGTAAAAGGTACTTGCTGCGAAATCTAATGCTAGTAAAAAGAAAACATATTGGAAGATATGATGATGGTCTGCCAGCACATCAGAGTTCTCCTGAGATATGCCACCAGCTATCCTGAGATCTACGACTAGAACCTGGCATAGCTTGCTCATAGGGACGCTAACTTGGTGGAGAGGTAGCCCGTCTTCCGCCATATCCATTACGTTACGTAAAGGTTGCCAAAAGATACAGGAACTGCCGAATCACAGGCGCATCCCAGTGTCTAAGAAAGTGAGAAAGGGTTCCAATGGGGATGGGCAGGGTAAAGATGCGCGACCTTCCCCGTCGTCAAACACCGGCCGAGAAAATGCACTTGAAAAAATGTTTTAGACACTCCAGCCAATACATGTAATGCATTATCATTTGAACCTCTCCACGAAAGTCCCTTATCCTTTACTTTTTTATCGTACAACATGCAGATCGCCGCGATACCTAGTAACACATACATCAATAGTTTTTTGCCGATGAATATGCCTCGAGGTAACATTTGAATTCTGTCCGTCACTATGACGATGCTAGACTAAACGGAAACTGATGCGTACTATGCTTCTAAATGGCCAAGGGCAAGGGCAACAGCGTCATGGCAAAGTGGCCAACACGCTCTAATGCATTTTGTGAGCCTCCATCGCTTTGCACCTGAAATTTGCTGATCCAATGACTAAAGCTACGAGCGCAAACAGCAACATACCTGACTTTACATCTTACATATCTACTTTACAGCAAACAATACAGCAACTATATCTTGCAGCTACATATAGCGTTAATTGCTTCGTAAAATGAGGTAGTTACGATGCTGAATTAATAGGTTGCCACGCATGGCGCTACACGTATGAGCCGCCGAAGCTGTGATCCATAGGCTGTGCTAGCAACCATTGTTGCTTTCTAAGCCACTCAGGACAGTTCTGACGCTCAAAGACGGCGTTGACAGGAAACAGCTTCGCCCGGCGGCCATCATGTAGGTCCAAAACTCGATGTCGAATTGCGAGAGCATCTTTACTTTTCTCACCCGAAATTTTTTTTCTTCTGCTTACGTCAGTCATTGATTGTCCCCCTATGCGCGAGTTCCAGCCATGCTCTTTGTCGCACGCAACATCCCTTTTTCTAATGCTTGTGGTGCTACTTTTCCGGTAGTAGTCACGGCAAAAATTTAGCGTTGTCACGTTGCGGACTGAATCGCTGCGTCCTCTGCTACCATGCTACCGTTCAAGAGTTTTCGGTGGTTACTTTTACTTACCGGGTGAGCTGCTAGATAAACATGACTTGCAAAATTTGTGTAAAGTTAAGCTATGTCTTACGCTTCTGCGAGCACACCGCATTAGTTAAGGTCTAGTAGCTAAGGTCTAAACAATCCGTTGCACAACACGAGAGCTCAACAGCCAGAACTGCACTGCTGTCGCTGTACTGAAAAGACTTCTGTCTAGTAACCATGCTATAGCTCCCGCGCGTTAGTCGCAATATTCTACGATTAATACAAATTAATCGTAGGATATTGCGACTAACGGCCGGGCGAGCCACTCGCTTTGTAAGGAGTTTTTGTCAGCGAAAAAACAGGACAGTGCATATCCGACTGGTATTAATCTGCTGTCAGTCATATAGCTACACCTACATGTTCTTGCACATAGATAGTAGCATTCATCGCGACAAGGCACGCTGCGATTTGCAAGGTGATTGATCATCTCGTCGAAATGATGCCGCTAAACGGATGACGGACACCCCGTTGGTCAAAAAAGTCACACGTGCCACCGGTATTGCCGATGGCTAGAGGATAGGGGAGGCTCAGCTGCGTATAGTACACAGATCCAGCCAGCAGGACGATCAAAATTTGGTCTTACCATCTGATTTTTGTACATTAGTTGTCACAGATTCATTGTCACAGGTGAGACATTTCCGATATAGAAAAAAGGGCATTAGTAAAATCAGTACTCTTCAACGTCGAATTAACACCTAAGGTCTTGCGTTGCACTAGATGTACCTGTAATCTTTAAACTTTTCATAAGCAAACTATATTCAGTGAAACGGAACGAAATAAAGCTTGAGAGAGTGTTCGGCCCAAGTTCTCACAAAGTTTCGTCAGGTTGATGAATTTTTTACAACCGAAGACTCCTCCACAAACGTAAATTGTGGTGTAGCTGACTGAACATGTTGGTCGGCCTTCACAGTGACTTGAGTTTGCTTCTGTCCTCAAACAAAAAAGTCGCTCCATTTCTGTTTGTCATATCGATCCTGCACCTGCGTGCTGTTGACGCTAACGAAAGCTAAGAATATGCTAAGCGTTTTTGTAACGGGTGGTTGGATAATCAGTAAGAATGCATAAAATGCAAATGGAATACTTGACTTTACTGAGGTATTTATAGAGATGTGTAGCTCCGCTACACTTAGTAGCACTTGCTGTCAATCGTGTACCTGAGTCTAAACGGCTGACTTTGTAGCAGAGCTACACAGCTCTTTAGTCAGAGGAAGACTCTCAGGGGTACACCTTTCTAGTTCTAATGAAATGAGCAATTATACGGCTAAAAGCCACTTAGTTCTATGAAACAAAATAAACGGCTACTGCAACGAGCAAATAGTTACACGAATGATGGTGTTACGGGCCTATGGTTACACGAATCCGTTAAGTATATGATACTTAACAGGGAGGTACGTGGTACCTTAGACCTGCCACTTGGGTGAGGCACATCAATGTGACCCATCCTCGTAAATGTGATTTCCATGGATGGATTCACATGAGAAGGGATGACGCTAGTTGAAGCTAGGCATCACGACGTCTCAGAAGGACGTCAGTTGCGATCTTACATCTAGATTTAAGATCATGCGACAGGATATGCTTCTAAAGAGTCGCGTATCCGATCTATATATATATAGCCAATCAGTAGTTAAGTATATGTTTAGTTATAATTAATTAAATATAGCTCAGTCTTGAATTTACTTAAACAAACACACCACGCACCAGAAGTTGAGAAACTTCTGCGTGACGTCAATGACTTTTTGATTAGAAGTTCGTTGCACTCTCGCTTAAGCGAGAGGCAACTGGTGGTACGACTGCTTAAGCAGTCGACCAACCTCCCAACCACCCTCGCACGCAAAGGTAAGACGGTCTAACCGCTTCCTCGCTTGTGCTGAAGGTGTGTGCTAGTAGCACGAAGCAACTTCGTAGAAGTGCCCGTCTACACTTGGTAGCACTAATAGTCCTTTCCACGACCCGTCTCTCTGAGCGTGCGTGTGGTTGACATGGTCCTTAATATGGACTGGAGTGACTTCCCTCACCTCTCCCAACATCATAGGGAGTTGGCAGAGCATATGGCGCAGGGACTTGGTGAACAAGCCCTGGTCAATGTAATGGGTCTACCTATTACATAAGTAGTTATAGGATTAATACATAATTACATAAGTAGGCATAGGGCAGTAGCGGATACTGCGCGTCATTTTATTATTGGTTTATTATTGGGGTGCCAGACCCAATATAATTAGCCAATAATAAATTGACTTCCATATTGAGTGGTTCCCATGAGCTAGGGAACATATTCGCACTTACTGCGAATTAAAACTAAAACAAAACTAAAACAGAGTTATATTTACGAGTTAATTAAGAGCGCTTCCTCAACGCCCTTTTAGTGTAAGACGGTAACGGGTCCTTAGCCCGTTACACCTGGTAGCACTTCGTAGTCCTTCCAATGACCAGATTCGAGATGAACATGGGCGAGTCTTCGGTGGCTCCAGCGGTCTCGCTGGAGCATTCTGATTTCCCACATCTCACCTCGGTGGAGTGGCAGGCACTACATCGCCTCGCGGCGGTGTCTGGTGAAACTATTGTGACGTCGCTGCTGAGCACAGCGACGCCTGATGATCAACGTGCCGCCATCCAAGACTTTATGGTGCGCGAGCTCGCCGAAGCGAATCGGCGAGTATTGACTCCCTCGCGCACTTCGCACCATGACGCTATCAAGATGGAGACGTCAACGTACTCCGGTGATGGTCCGGATCGTCTCCCCCTCAATCGCTGGTTTCGCGAGGTGGATATTGCAATAGCGTCAAGATTAATTGACGCTCCGACGGCCAAGGTCAATTTCCTGTTGTCTCGTCTTGCCGGCAAAGCCAAGGAATGGGCCCTCGGAAAGCTCGTCGTAGATGAGTCGGCGTTTCCTACGCTAGACGATATCCAGCGTGACTTACGACTGGCTTTCGAGCCTCCTCAAGATGAATCTCGCTTGCGTGCAGATTTCTTCTCACTCTGACAGGGCAAGCTGTCGATGCGTGACTACGTGCAGAAGACACGTCATCTTGCTTCGTGCATTACCACGCAGCCAATTGACATGGCTTCACAAGTCCATGTCTTTATCTTTGGTATGCAAGAGGGCATGACGCGTTACTGCCTCACACGTGCTGAGCCAAAGTCCCTCGAGGAGGCATTTGCCCTCGCGCTTCGTGAGGATTACACTGTCGCGTCGTCGTACCTGCACGC